CATCTGGAGAGCTGGCTTGCTGGCCCTGAAAAAAAAAATGCTTTTCCCATTTTTTTGTTCCAATTTGGAATGAACTTTTTTGGGGGGGAGGGGGTGGAGAAGGGGATGTGAAATTTTCTATGGGACAGAAATTCCAGTTCCCGCATAGCTTCAGTCTCCAGGTCTTGCGTTGCTAGGCTCCTTCCAACTCCTCCAAGCAACAACTCCCTTGAACATTGAATACACAACATGAAAATTCTTATTCTGTCCATTTCCAATGCACAGATGTCTGTTAATGTGACTTTGTGACTCAGACCATCTGTGTGGTGTGGGCCAAGATTACTATATTTACTTTCATTATTCTGTTGCGCTTTCATATGCAAACTGTAGTCATCAGGCATGTAATTTGACTTTTAAATCACTTTCTCTAAAATCTGCATTTCTCTTTGGTAACATGTAGCATTATTTCTCTGTGCCATGAACATCAATCAAGAATAGCATTAACAATACAATTATATTATTATATTCCTTATCTTGGATTAGTAGTTTAAGAGTGTGATGCTCTCATTCATCCCACACTGTGAGAGGGAGGAAATGAGTCGGAAGGAAACCACAGCTTTGTGCATAAATTCTAAACTGGAATTTTCTTAGAACTTCTAAACAATCATCACAAAAACTACCCAGATATGTAATATAATGTGGTAATTGTGAACGCTGTTCTGGTCTGTGATAACAGAACTTTACAATTCTGCATTAGCTATAAAATACTAACAAGACATTACATATTGACTCCATGATATTATCATCATCTTGGAACAGAAGTATCCAATAATGAACTTCACTACAACAAACAAAGCATAAAACTGAATGTAGATATAGTACTGTAAACAGCTAACACATTTACCCTTATGTGTCTGTTTTGTTTGGTTATATTTAGTTACATCACAAGAAATTACAAAATTAGACTCAGATCTACAAAGGAACTTAGGCACCCAATGCCCAAATTTAAGGCCCTAAACCGCAGTACAAGGCAGCCTGATTAGCTCTCAAGAATCACTTTTCTTGCAATTGCTAGAGCTGATCAGAAAACTTCCATCCAAACAAATTTTGATTTAAAATGAGGGGAATATTTTTCCACTTTCTGACCAGCTGTAATAATCATGCTACTAAATCAGGCAGTTTCACAAACCAGGATTGATTGATAGCCCCATACAAAACCATACTGTAGAATTAGGCTTATTCCAGTTTTCTTGTTGTATTGACTACACCCAAGATATATCATAGGGTGCCCTAGTGAATAGAACACTGCACTGAGACTCAGAATACCTGGTGTCTAGTCACCATTCTGCCAGTGGCCATTTGGGTGAGTTGCCTCACCTCTCTAGGTCTGAGTTTCCCCATCCATAAAATGGGGCTAATGATGCTAACCTCTTTGGTAATCCGCTTTGAGATCTACTGATGGAAAGCGCTATAAAAAAGGTAAGTATTATTATTAATACTGTTTTACTGATTTTGGGTCTCTTAAAATCTATCTGCAAAATACAAATATTTGAGATTGCCTATATGTACCAGAGAGCCAGATTTGGTCCCTTGGAATTTTGCTAGAACTTGAGCTGGTCTTACTGAAAACCCTGGTTTTGGTAAAAGAAGTTTTTTCAGAAATGATTTTGATTTTTTTTAAATAATTTCAGTAAAAAATATCCTGACCCATGTTTCAAGAAGCAGAAAATGGGTCACTTTCAAACCTGCAATACAGAAACAACTTCAAAATATTTTCGAAATCATTCTCCCAGTTTTCAGCCAGCTTTATTTAAAATTGTTGTAAATGGTACTTCTGTCGTCATTGGTTCTAATTCTCCTTTTTTCTTTGGTACGTCCAGAGTCCCTTCTAACGTCCAGCCTGACCACACGCAGCTCCTTCACCGGCTGCATTCGTAACTTTGTGATTGATGGAAAGCCAGTGAGTTTCAGTAAAGCAGCTCTGGTCAGTGGTGCTGTGAGCATCAACACGTGTCCAACAGCCTGATACCACACAGCAGCAACACTGCAAACTTCTTTACAGCACTGAAGGAAAAAAACACGCAAAAGAAACCATGTTCTATTCCATTACCGATGCTGGGGGAAAATGAAAATATATCAAGGGTCTTTATATGATAAAGCTGTTATGCCTAGGGTCACTCACTTGAAATCTCTATGTGTGCAAAGAAAAGACATGAAGAATAAACAGAGATGTTATTTCTACAATGCTCTTACTAAACCACAAGAACAAGTTTTACAATTCTTACAGTATCTTTGTAGCAAGCCCTATCACGCTGTCAATGAAAATGCTGATGGATTACAGAATAAAGGCAAATGATTTTAAATATGTTGCTTTCCAGAGAGACCTTAAATCATTTCATTCCATACCATACAAATGCCCTTGATCACCAACTTTGGTTTAACTTGAAAAGAATTGCTAATATGCATTAAAGAATAAAGCTAGATAATAGACTTACTGTGTAAACAATTGTGTGCAAGATTCTTTTACATGGAGCTCATTTATTCTTTGCTCGGCTAAAATGGGACTATGCTGACCATAGAATTTTTGGAAACAATAAAAAAATTAGAACCCATTTCTTTCTACTTCCAGGTGAATTCGTGGCACCCTTTGTAGTGATTTTCTCATCTGACACCATGTAAGTTTGAATCCTAGCATGAGGTGAAGCAGGACTTACTGTTTTTAATATACATAATAGTTGTTACATAAACTAAACAATATTAGGACAAACTGCCTCACATAGGAAGCAGAGTGTGCATGCACGTGTGTGTAAGGACTGATTGAAATTTTCAAAATTTAAAGTTTTTTATTACATTTTTCATCTAAATTTTAATATATCCAATATACACATATAAATACACAAAGATCCAGGACCTGATTATAGTGGTATAACAAGTAATTTCACTGACTTCAGCAGAATTACTCCTGATTTACACTTGTGTAAACCAGAGAAGAATCAGTCCCAAAGCATCTGGAGAAACACCATCACACAAGTGTAATAATCCCCCCTTGTGAGATCGTTGGTGTGTGTGGTATGCCAACCTTTCTCTGACACAGTACTTGGTAGCACATCCAGTGGTCCACTACTCAGAGGCAAGAAGGAAAAGTACCGCAGTTGCTAGGCCTAGTGTAATATAGCGCATCCTGGATCCCAATAAGCACTCAGCCAATTGCCTTCAAGTGCCACATTCTGCTCAGGTCCCCTAGAAAACCTGACTCCCTGACATTTCCACTCCTACCAACCATCCTCTCAACTGCCATAAACCTTCCCCATCCTGCTAATCTCTAACCCTCCAATGCAGGACAGAAAAGAACAGCAGATTCACTGTTTTGCAGATTCACCACTGGTGTTGCTGAAATTCCTTTTCAGGTTGTCTGCTGCTTCCAGGCAGGTATAGCCAAGAATAACAGATGCTTGCATCTCCTAGGCATATACCAACTAGTGTTTATTAAATGTTGGTAAAAGACAGGTGTTACATATTCATTACTGTGTATTTTATTTGTATGCAGAAACCCAGAATGTTCTTCCAGCTCACTTCTGTTCCAAAGAAGTGTTTGAGCTCTGGGAATAAACAAAAATTGTCCTGGGTGTGTAATGGGGCTTTTCTTTCAATGTGCCTTGTAGGAAAGAATGATGACAGCTTTCCCTGCTTAATCAGATCTTGCTACCTGAAGTTCATTCATGAATCAAAAAACACAGTTCAATTAGAATTCACAAAAATGTTAATATTCAATTTACTCCACCTTTAATTTATCAGAAGCTAATCGAGCTGAGGGGGGCTGATCCTACTCCTTTTGAAATATATAGGCCCAGGAGCTTCCCCCCCCCACTTGTCTTGGGGAGGAATTCTCTATGAGGCTTGCTTCTCAATCTTCTACCCCATCAGGGGGTACAGGATTTACCCTCCCCAGAGACCTGCAGGAGTCCAGGACCACCTGCATGAAAGGCCTTGTACCTCCACACTAATACTGATACCCAGCAGCCCCTCTGGCTTCCTGGCCATGTCTGCCCAAAGAAAGGAGGCCTGCAAAGAAAAAATACTGGAGCCCCAGATGGTATTGTCTATTCCAGGGAATCGTTACATGGCTGAGGTGGAGGAGAAATTTGTTCCCCTGGCATTCCCAGTTTCTGCCACCATCCCCAGTATGGACCCTCAACCTTTCCAAGAACCAGCGCCTCCCACCCACCAGTGGCCTCACCGATCAACTCTTCCCCCTCCCTCCCTGCGCCTCCAATCTGCCAAGTTCAGCTGTTCTGCAGCATGCAGGAGGCACTGGGGAAGAGGGAGAAGAGTGGGGATGGGATGCACTTGGGAAGGGGGTGGAACTGCGTGGGAAGAGGCGGGAAGGAGGCAGGGCAAAAGCAGAGCAGGGAAAAGAGGCGGGGCGGCAGTGGGGGGTTGGAAGAAGGGATGGGGGATGGAGCCTGCAGCAGAGTGGGAGTGGGGGCTTAGAGGAAGAGGGCAGGTGGGGGCAGGGCCAGGGGCCCGGAGGAAGCTGGCACCTGTGCGCAAAATAGTCTCATGCCATTTCCTTAGTGTCCTTTAGATACTTGGGCCAGCCATTCCTAAAGTAACGTAGAACTTCCTGAGGTTGCATGTCTGTCGAGGTTTCTTTTTGTAGCTGATGTAATCTCTTTTTCCAACACTGGTCTGTATGAGTCCACCATATCCACATACACCTTTACATCATCTTCAAGCTCACGGGTAGGTCACAGCAATGCTAGGCTCTGTGACAGAGTATCTGCTACTACCGGATTTTTCCCATGAACATATTTAGCGATTGGGTTTCATCGCACTAACCTTAGCAAAAGACGTTGCCATCTCAGCGGTACTTGATCCAGGGGTTTTCTACTGATGAGGATTACAAGTAGTTTATAGCCTCCATATGGAGGTGTGGATTCATCTCCCACTTCTAAAACCATGTTATGTACTTCTGTGCCAGATCTGGACTGGTCACAGAGCTTGCTTATACACACCAGATGTGTTGATCATAAGATCCTTTAATGCTCAGGCTATCTTAAATGTGGTATTTTCTATTCCATTACAGAGGGGGCAAAAAGTGGAAGACATAATGGAGCAAATAGAACTATGAAAAGTCAGGAAGGCGGGAGGGGAGGGGGGCAACTGCCCACCTTGCCCCATAGCAAATGACTTGCCTGGGTTCAAGGACATAGCAACCCTACTAAAGAGGTGGTCCTATATTTCTATATTTCCCATGTTGGGCCCCTGAAGAGTCCTAGACCAGTACTAATGCAAACTCAGCTGTCTTGGCCAGCTTCTCTAGAAATTGTGAGAACTTTGAAGGAATTCTTGTAAGTGTTTTTCTGGGACACCTAAGTGCTCAGAGTAATATCTGCAAGGAACTGTAACACTCCTGTACAGCATACTTGATTTGCAGGCAGAGGAGTCAGCATATGTGTTCATCTGTGATTGACATCTCTCTGCCCAAGGGAGACTGTTTGAAGACACTGAGCAGTCTTCCATCCTCCTAAGAGGTCAAGGTAGTGGACAACATCCTGAAAAAGATAAGGAAAAATAAAGAAGTTAAAGGTGTGGTAGTAATTCTTCTGAAAGCAAATGACCCCAATAAAATATCAGCTTTGTAAAGTGAACAAAGCCCTGAGGCAAAGCTAATCGCAGGCTTACTATGAATTCCAACTTATCTCCCTACAGCAGCATGTGGTCTAAGCAGTTAAAAGTGACAGTGATAAGAAATTTGCTACATTTCTGAAAGTCTTTGAGTTACAAACTGCATTTTTCTTTTGTTATCTAATGTATCTCTAGGATTCGAGTGTACTCACTATAAAAAAAATGAAGCTAGGATATAGTGGCCTGTCAGCTCATTTATATCTTAGCAACAGAATAATTCGCTCCTGGCATCCAAAAAATGTTTGTTCAGAAGGCTCAGTATAGTATAGTATTACACCATCAGCAGTTTGAGGTATTAAGACAATATAGAGGATGGAAACATAGAATTAGACTGCTAGATGGTTAAACATTAGTCCATGGCTTGTCCAAAGTGAAGGACTATTTTTAAAAAATAAAAAAAAACAAATCACAATATAACTTTTTTAATCTCATGATTTTGGGGATAATCTTATAATTGGGGGGGGGCTAAGGCTGACTCATGATTTTGGGGTTGCCAATACCGTATTCAGGCCTTGGTGAGTTGGGAGTATGATCATCACATTGTGACATCTGGTGGGGTGTTACCATTAAACAAGTTTGGAATGAGTATTTGCATATTACATGTTTGAAGGACAACGGCTGAGCCCATAATTTTTAATTTTAGTGGCAACATGTACTGAAGAGTTACTTAATCTCTAGAGGCTGAAAATTGGCTATAAACCTTACCCCTACTGTGGCAATAATCAGCGTGCAGCACTTGTGTGATTGAGCTTTAATTTTTTTACTGAAAGCTTCAATCCTGTAGGTAGCCATGCTGCCTCCACACCATGCTCTGTGCTGCCCCACTCTGACTTCTGCTGATCGTGTCCTCTTTTCTGAATTCAGTGGCACGTGCCACTGAAGAGGCGCATGACCAGGGAGGGTCAGAGAGCAGCCAAATATCAACAACCAAGCCTAGGGAGGCTGGAGGGCTGCAAGCCAAAGGCCTGCGCTGCCCTTGGCCCCATCTGGCTCCACCCTCCCTTTGCCCATCTGTAGCAGCCTGCGCTCTGAGTGTTCCAGCCCGGAACGTTCCATCTGCGGGAGACGAGGGGACCAAGCCAGTGGGCGGGGAGAGGTGTTGCGTATGCGCTCGCCCTCGCCGAGGACGTGAGAGCGCATGGTACCTTCCACGCCGAACCTGGCAATTGGAAGAGCTTGCGTGAGCCTCACCCGCCCGGAGCCGGCCACGCGAGGGGCGGGGCTTTCGGAAGCCTGGTTCGGAGTAGGCGGGGCCAGCTCCTCGCCGGTTGGAGGAGGTGGAGCCGCAGCTACTGCCCGCGCGCCCCTAGTAACGGCCCCCGGAGCGGCGACTATGACCCAGTCGGTGGTGGTGCAGGGTAAGCCGGTGAGACCCCCCCACCCCCATCCTCCGCCCGCCCCAGCCCCGCTGACCCGTGTCTCTCCTGCTTTGCAGTGGGCCAGTGCGGGAACCAGATCGGCTGCCGCTTCTGGGACCTGGCGCTGAGGGAACACGCCGCCGTCAACAAGGTAACGGCCCCCGGGAGCGGCCCTGACACCCCCCCCAGCTGCCGGGCCGCGGGCGGTGCAGTGTCCGCTCCCTGGGGGAGCGGCGACCGGGTTCTTCCTGGGCGCGCGCGCAGTGTCGGCCGCTGATTCTGAGCAGAGCCTGGGACCCCCGCCCCGAGCGCGGCTTCCCCGCTGCGGTCCCGTTAGCCCTCCCCCCCTCCCCCCGGCGGCGGCTCCGCGCGGTGTTTCCACAGCGTCTGTCTCCGCCTCCGGGGGCCGGGGCAGCCTGGGGGTTACTGGGCTGGACGCCGGGGGACTCCCTGACCTGACCCGTGTAGCGCAGCCCTTGGGGGTCTGAAATCTCACCGGGGTGACAGGAGCAGTTCCCCCCACAGCTCTGGCACCGCCCCGCCGCTGGAGCCGCCCCACGCGCCGCCTTCCCAGTTCGCGGGGGAAATTAGTGGCTTCGAAATTTCCCATGAACTCCGCCTCCCGAAAAATCTTCCTTTGGGACGGAAACCCCAATGCGTGGAACGAAGTCGCGCCCAGCCCGGGACCCAGACAGCTGCGGAGTGAAACTGACATGCTCAGCAGTCACATGTATCTTGTCAGTTTCCTTCCAGGCCCAACCAGGAGCCATCCTTTTTGATTTTTCCTGATGAGAAACAGAAATGTTTTGGTAAACTGAAATTTTCTCTTGAAAAAAAATGGTTTTGTGAAAAGGGCATTTTTCATCGGAATGATTTTCTGACAAACTTTCAGCTCCAACCAGGACTGAGCAGTTAGTACTGCTTTTCCTTTTCCAAGTACTATGTAATTGTTTCCCATAAGGAGCCTTTCATGATGCAGCTGATTATCCTACATTGTCCCGCTATGGGTTTCTTCCACTTTCCTCTGAAGTATCTGATGCTGGCTGCTGTTGCAGACAGGATACTGGACTAGATGTACCTTGGTTCACCCAATCTGATCCAGTATGGCAGTTACTATGTTCCCTTCTCAGTCTTCCTCCTTCTGGTGTCCTTCCATCACAATCATAGGTTTTTCCAGTGTTGGGCACATAAGGTCTGGTCTGTAGCCCTAGCAAGATCTTCCATGGTGCATGGTTCCTCCAGGAGCTGACAGACATGGTTTATATTTCACTGCAGTCACATGTATCTGGGTCACTGAAATAACCCCACTGCCATATATTGACTTTTGACCTGCCAACTCTTGTTCTGAGATTTAAACCAATCCTTCTCTGTGCCTGTGGGAATGCGTTTGCCAATTTTAGTCCTGCTAAAGCCTATGTGCTCCCTGTGCAAGTCTTTTTAAGTCCTGCAAACTATTTTTATTACTACAGTTCTCCTATGGCAAATACACTCATCTCCAGCCCATGGTACTCTGACAGATCTAGTCACTGCCAAAGAGTGTGCATATTTTCTCAGTATAGTACTAATATTGATTTGCAGAATGGTGGCCTGTTGTTTTTTTGGCATTACAAATAGTACAGTCTATGAAGGTATGTGAGCATTGCTCTGGAAAGTGATTTAGTTATCAAAACACATGTAGACCTTGAACAAAAAAATTGTAATGCCAAAAAATCAACAGGCCACCATACTGCAGGGCTTTGGAGCTGTGTTCCAGCTCCGTACAAAAACCTGCAGCTCCACTGCTCCAGAGCTGCTCCGCGCTCCAGCTCCGGGCTCCGCTCCAAAGCCCTGCAAAAAATAAGTGTTTCGTTCTTTGGCTGTCAAGGCAACAGCAGTGATTTTTCTAGAAAAAAGCTGAGAATATACATCAATAAAGAACACTTGGGGCCCAATTCTCTGTTGTCCCACAGACAAATTATGTGGCTTTAGCAGCTTAAAGGGGCAGCGACAAGCCCTGGGGAATTCCCCACTTCAGGGGGCTTGCCCAATTGACATAGAATCAGTGAAACATCTCTACACCACTCCCCTTCCAAGTCCCTGTGTAGTGTGTGGATTTGGAACACTGCAGTGGTCCAACTATTCTCTACTTCTCATGGTCAACAGCAAATAGAGTGTATATCAGAGCAACCTTGGGGTTTCTCTAACTTATCCAAGTAGGCCCCCTTCAGGATCCAAAATAACAAGGAGTATAAAGTTGCACTAAAGTCATCATTGGTCCCTTCTCCATTCCTATATTCAGCACAGGGACAAAGTAACAGATAAATGGGCCCAGTAATTAGTATGCTGAGGACCCCTGAATGGAAATGTGTCCAATTTGCAAGATCTGTATAGACATTATTTAAAGAAAAATTTCAATGTGTTAATAAAGATAATGGTGGACAGTCCTTTTGGCTACCTTGCTTCAAAGCAGCTAGTACTGATTCATTATGGCAAATCCTATGTTTCTAGTATTGTATACAGCAACATGCTTTCATTTTCAGCCCACTGTTTAGTGGGCAGCTGTACAGTAGATGTGGAGCAGCTATAATTCCATAACAAACACAACATGTAAAACAGCAAAGCCAGTTTTAATGCTAATTAATAAATGTATTGGGTATTTTCATAAAATACAAAAATCTTCAAAAACACAAAATTAAAGAAAATATAATATTGGTTGTGATTTGTTAAATCTTGCGTTGAATAAAATGTTTTTTATTGAATGAATTGTTTACTTTCATAATTTCGAATTCTGTGTATATTTTAACTGAATACTGTTGTACGTTGTTAGCCATAAATAGCATTGAGAATCTCTAAAATTGCACACTTAAAACTTAACTTGTGCAACGTTTCTGTTTTTTAGAAAGGAATTTATGATGAAGCATTAAGCAGCTTCTTTAGAAATGTGGATACCAGGTAAGCTTTGCTGTATCAAGAGACCTATTTGAAATTTATCAGAGTAATTGATTTCAGTAGGTCAGCCATCCCTATTTGCTATTGCCCTGAATAAACTACAGTTTTATCTGTTTCAGGTCAAACTACTAATTGTGCTAAAAAGAGATCCTAACATCTTGTACTTTCATACATTGTGTCTGTCCTCCTCTTTGATATAGACCTTTGCTATTCTAATTCTATGAAAGTGTTTTCCTCCTCCTTCACCCCTTCTCCCGCCCACCAAAAAAAAGCAGTCAGTTAATAACTGCACATTAATCTTCCTTTAAAATAAAATGTATTCTGTTTCAGCCACTCAGTCATATTTAAATGTCAGGCTTTATAATTATGATTTTTCATGTTGATTGGGGATCTTGCAAGAGGAATTCATTTAAGAAGCACAATCTATGCAGGCCTTGAAAAATTTACTTGACCTGTTCTAGCATGAACCCTAGAATCCATAGCTAGAATTTAAAGAAAAACAAACCCACCCTATCCCACCATACTGGCACCCCCGCTACTCCTCCCTGCTTACACATGTGCATCTAATTCCTTAATGAAAGGAATAAAACAGTTGTACTGCTTACCATGCATGGTATTTAGTTGTAACACTATTAAGCAGCTTTCTATCTAATATGATGGTGAATCAGTAGCTGCAAGATAGTTAAGATGGGGTTACAAAGTTCAATTTTAACAGTGGCTTTAAATCTGTATTTTGTAAAGACTTCATTGAAATGGCAAAAACCAAAATACAGATAATAAATTTTGAGTACTGTTTGAATTTTGGATCGACTCACTTAGATTCCTTGCAAAAAGGGCATAAAGGAAAAAGCATGCTGCTTTGGCCACATTGTTTTCCTCATATGCTGATTCCTTGAATACCAGTTATACATCAATATGTTTGTCCATAGACTGCTTTATAACTTTTTTTTTAGCCGTAACAGAAAATGTATGTTAAGGTGAACACATGAGATTTTAGTTTGATGACAAATCTGCTGCAGCATAAATGCCATCACCCACTCAGGAAGGGAGGGGAAGGGAGAGAATGTGTACCTCATCAGATCATAGATTACGGTTGGAAGAGCCTCAGGAGGTCATCTAGTCCAGCCCCCTGCTCAAAGCAGGACCAACCCCGACTAAATCGTCCCAGCAAGGGCTTTGTCAAGCCGAGCCTTAAAAACCTCTAAGGATGGAGGGTTACCACCACCTCCCTAGGTAACCCATTCCAGTGCTTCACCACTGTCCTAGTGAAATAGTTTTTCCAAATATCCAACCTAGACCTCCCCTACTGCAACTTGACACCATTGCTCCTTGTTCTGTCATCTGCCACCACTGAGAACAGCCGAGCTCCAACCTCTTTGGAACCGCCCTTCAGGTAGTTGAAGGCTTCTATCAAATTCCCCCTCACTCTTCTCTTCTGCAGACTAAATAAGCGCTGTTCCCTCAGCCTCTCCTCATAAGTCATGTTCCCGAGCCTACTAATAATTTTCATTGCCCTGTGCTGGACTCTCTTCAATTTGTCCACATCCTTTCTGTAGTGGGGGCCCAAAACTGGATGCAACGCTCCAGATGTGGCCTCACCAGTGCTGAATAGAGGGGAATAATCACTTCCCTCGATCTGCTGGCAGTGCTCCTACTAATGTCAATATGCCATTAGCCCTCTTGGCAACGAGGGCACATTGTTGACTCATATCCAGCTTCTCGTCCACTGTAATCACCAGGTCCTTTTCTACAGAACTGCTGCTTAGCCAGTCGGTCCCCAGCCTGTTGCAGTGCCTGGGATTCTTCCATCCTAAGTGCAGAACTCTGCACTTGTCCTTATTGAACCTCATCAGATTTCTTTTGGCCCAAGTCTCCAATTTGTCTAGGTCACTCTGGACCCTGTCCCTACTCTCTATCTATCTACCTCTCCCCCCAGCTTAGTGTCATCTGCGAACTTGCTGAGGTGCAATCCATCCCACCATCC